AAACCAAAAAGCCCGGTAATGAATTTGTATGCCCGAATGCCACAAATTTGGAACCGTTCAAATGTTTATGGTAAACGAAAGGAGAAGGGCAAAATGTTACGAGTTATGACTAGCTGTCCACCAACGTAATCAGATCTTATACAGTCAGCGAGTGCGACACGTTGGTGGACAGTTAGTCATAACTCGTAACATTTTATCCTTCTCCTTTTTTTATTTAAACTTCACTTCGCGTGTCCAAAAACGGTCTCTTCACTGTGATTCAGATCAAAATTCAGATTACCATTGGACCCAATTTTTGGGCCTGGCCCATCATCAGGTTAATGAATTTTTAAATCTGAATCGCAGTGAAGCCACCGTTTTTGGAGTTGAGAAGTGAAGTTGCAATGTGTAAGTGGCTGCGTTAGAGTTTGCGGACAATTGGAAAAGTTTCTCCTGTTTTTACCATAATTATATTGGCTCACCATCCGAGTTCAAATGTTTGTTCTGTTTTTCAGTGATACCGACGTATTGCAATTCCTCTCTAGTGGTGATTAGTGGTCACCTGGGCAACATTTCGGGCACATCTCTGGGCGCCACTGCAACTCTGGTGTGTAACGTGGGATCATCTGCTAGCGGTGCAGACTTAACCTACAGGTGTAGCAGTGAAAAGGCTAAGCACGGCGTCTGGAAGGGAGCATCACGTTGTCAAGGTAAGCCAATGGGGCGTGTTTGCTACAATGAAGCATACTGAGTTGTAGGGAAATGTCTAGTTTCCAGACTCAAATCCGTAAAATGAAGTTGAAGTCTCTACCGCAGCTATGCTGATGGTTTTAAAAATGTCAAGTTCTCGGAGGAAAGCATACTCATTTCCAAAGTTTCACCATGGTTAACTCTGTTTCGTGCTTGTTGCAAAAACATACCTGCTTCAGAGGTTCCTAACCTTTCTTTGCAGCATATTATAACCCCTTTGTTGCACATCAAAGTAGGGCTGAAACGATTATATCGGTTATCCATCTAATCGACCATTACAACGAAGCGATTTCGATTATGCTGTCTATTTCGATTACGCGATTCTAAAAAAAACTTTCTTTTTTTGTACATGACAATCATTGTCATTGTCATTGTCATGTACATGACAATGACTGTACTGTGTGGTAGTAGTAGCAAGAGTATATTCTTGCCTCTGGGTAATAGGATCCGATAAGGTTACCGTAATTCCGCCCATATAAGCCCATGGGCTTATATGTGAAACAATGCAGTTTGGGGATAAAATATCCAGTAAAACATGTTCGTTTTTTAGCCCATGGGCCAATATTCGAATTTTGACGGTTCACGAAAAAGTACAAGTCCATGCTCATGGTCAGTCTACCACACTCTACTGGTAAACTGCACTGACCTGCTGTACCATGGTAGGAAAAGTCCACTTTGTGAAAAATTCTACTTGACACGTGAGTTGCATTTGTGTCTGTTTATTAGCCCATGGGCTTATAAACGGAGGTGGGCTTATATCCGGATATAGGCCCATGGGCTTATATGCGCAGAATTACGGTATGTACATTCATTGTAGATCGACAGTGCATGTACGGTTCATCTGTATGTACATGTTAGTTAATGTAAACGGCATGCTTTGTTCTGGTCTGGCACGGTACTTTCTAGGACGCACTAATCGATACCATAATCGATAATCGAATCGATACAAGGGTAGGTTAACCGATTGTTGAAAAGTGTAATCGTTTCACCCCTACATCAAAGGCGGGTCTTTCATACTTCCTTTTGACACCAAATTTGTACAAATTGGATACAAAATGAGTGAGTTGCAGTCTGTTAATTAAAGTCATCGACGGATTACCATCGACTTTTGACCATACGGAAGCAAAATGGTTAAAGCACAGTGTGCTCATTAGCAGAAGTGTGTTCTCGGTTTTCTTCTTCTTTTGCACAGATATCGTCAACTATTGCCCAGCGTTTAAGCCAGTACATGGAACAGTGACGCATGATGGGCAGCGTCAGGTCGGCACTCCGGCAAGGCTGAACTGTGATTTAGGATACGTGGCTAAGAAAGAGTTGGTTCTCGTGTGCCAGAAAGTCAATGCCACGCACGGACGATGGAGCTCACCGGACGTCTGCACTGGTGAGTTATCATTACTCACTGGCCTATGCCTAAAAAGCAGTATCATGATAATTCAGTACCAGCTGTTGTGGAACAGCCCGGGGTCGTTCATTGTGATGGCATTCCTCCAAACTATCTTCGTTTAGCCGAGTGCACGTGAATGCATGGCAAGTGCTATGAGTGTAGCACTTTTGACTTTGTCGTGTTTTCTTTCCTTTCGCTGTGCAATTTTTAGTGAACACAAACTTCTGCAACCACCACGGGAAAGTCCCTAATGGTCAGGTGATCTACCCCACTGGCAGGCATCACGGAGCAGTTGCCAACTTTTCCTGTAACCCTGGCTACCAGGCGACCGACGGCATATGGCTGTGGTGTACGACAGCATACTGGGGAGGGAGAATATGGAATGCGTCTGCTAGATGTCAAAGTAAGTGACTTTCTGTTCCCTGTTGTGTGTGTGTGGGGGGGGGGGGTGCGTGTGCGTGTGTGTGTGTGCGTGTGCGTACGTGCGTGTGTGTGCGTGCGTGTGTGTGCAGGGCCGCCGGAACCGGTCGCTGGTCCGGTTATCACTGGATCAGATTTTTGGCCACCGCCACGTAGTTACTACAGAGGAGGTCATGTGTACCTTCCGTATTATATACAAAGCATACAAGGCCATGGTACTGCTGAACTAAACGAAACAACTGCCAGGGGTCCTGACTTTTGTGTGTGATCCACAGTGCTGTTCAAGCTTCTACTTGATTCAATTTTGATCACTGGCTGCGTTCGATTATGCACTTGAATCGATTCATGAATCCATTCGCAAGCATTCAAGTCGTTCGATTTTCATATCATGAGCCCTGGAATCGATTCGGAATCCATTCACCCTATTCACATGGGGTGATGTGAATAGCGCGAATCGATTCATGAATGGATTCATGAATCGATTTGCGGGCATAATTGAACGCACTCACTGCGAAGCGATTGGGACATGGAACGAGGCATGGGCGCGACATTTGTAGGGTATCTCCGTGTTTGACTCTAGTTATTTTTACCCGCTGCCATTAGCTGAGCACATGTGCCCTATGGAAATTACGTCAGTCGTCCTACGACGTCCTTCGGAAATGAGGCAATTGCTTAACGCACATGGTACACCCGAAAGGGACAAAGAAAGAAAGATAGAAAGAAAGAAAGAAAGAAAGAAAGAACGAAAGAAATAAAGAAAAAAGAAAGATAGAAAGGAAAGAAAGAACGAAAGAAAGAAAGAAAGGAAAGAAAAGCTGTCAATTGCAGTTCCACATGGTCATTGGAAACCACTCTCCACCAGCGTATATAATAATGACACCCGAGTGATATAGTATAACACTCCCACCGGTTTTCATTCCCTGTGTGAACGCTAGAAATCAGCGACTACTGCCAGGCACTGCCCGTTGCCAACGCTACACTGAGCAGCCAATCACGGGACATGGATGCTGCGATAACGATGATATGCAATAAAGGTTATGTTGCAACTGGCCGACTGACGTTCAAATGCCAGTTTGGGAACGCCACCCACGGCCGATGGGATAATAATGCCAAGTGTTTATGTGAGTCACTATCATGGCAGTCTGTGCTCGAATATTGCATCTTTTGTGGTGATGTAATGAGATCTTTAATCATGTGATCAGGGGTCATGTGACCTCGGTGTTATGTGATCCTAGTGTCATGTGATCTCAGTATAGTCTGATCTTGTGTATTATGATCTGTGTGCCATGTGATCTTGGTGTCATGTGATCTCTGTGTCATGTGACCTCAGTATCATGACTGTGATCTGGTGTAACGTGACTTTGGGGTCATGTGATCTGGATGTCATATGATCTCAGTGTACATGTTCGTATGTGTGCATGCGCATGTGCAAGCCTCACTGAATGATCGTCTGCAATAACCCAAGTCTTGATCACATGTTCCACTTATGTTTTTTTTTCAGTGAAAGATGGCTACTGTCCAGCACTGAGTCCAACGCATGGTTCGGTGAAGCATCGTAAAGACCCCAGATTACTGGAGATGGCTGTGCTCACGTGTGACGCCGGTTTCATCCCTGCCTCTGGCCACTCGTTCACGTGCGAGGTGTTAAGTGCCACGGCTGGCCGCTGGAGTGGCCAGGCGGAATGTGTGCGTAAGTGAAGCTGGCTTCTGGGCAGCACATTACACCCTGCTGCTCCGTCAATCTGAACTCGTTTCCGTTATGACACAGATCTTGAAATTTCGAGAATGGATGCCCGAGTTGCGAACTTTTTTTAGTGTGGTGTGTGTTTCAGTAAAAGTGACTCGTTTCCCTGGTCCTTAGACCCTACGGACACCGTCCTGCAGTGTTCAAAGGGTCAACTTCGATCACTTTGTTTGTTCAGGCGCGTAGCACCGCCGTTGGAGATAGTCCGGCGGGAGGGGGATCCAGGGGATGTCCCCCTGGAAACTTTCGACATCAGGGTGCAAAATCTTTTAAAAGTCTATTATAATAGTTAGGATCTCCTTTTTTACATTTTCAAATGCCTCAGACTCAAAATTATTCTTTTACTTGTGCAGAGAGCAGAATTCTTCACTTCTATACAGTGCCCAATGCTCACAGGAGCAGAGTTATTATGACTCGAGTGACTGAGCACCACGCGTCTGGTTGTTGTTGTTGTTGTTTGAATTCTTTTATTCTCACGATGGCCTGTGGCCAATAAGAGAAAAATAATTACAGGCACGGGGATCAGATACAGAGAGATCAAAGTTTAGCTGCTTGCTGAGGCAGTAGCGATGGTAATACTAATTGGGAGTTAATCACGTAGGCTGGGCGCAATGGAGCTATAGATGTGCTGAGCAATGTGAGCAAGTACATACGGAAGAGATGACAAGTGGTAGGATGTTTGCTTTGAAATCTCGTCTGGGGTTGATTTGCCGGATGCTGGGTGGGATGCTATTAAAGAGATCAAGAGAAGCATAGATGGGGGAGTCTCTTAGCCGGTTTGTACGTGTTGTGGGTAGCTCAAAGGTTCGGGGGAACCTGAGCGTGCGAATGGGTTGTATTCGGGGTAGGTGAATTGCAAGAAGGTGTGGTGGTGCATATCTATGATGCAGGCTGTGTGCAAGAAGGATATGGGAGAGGGTACGGCGGCTGCTGAGTGATGGCCATTTGAGTCGGTGCAGCAGCACGGAGTGGGTTCTGTGTTCAAAGAGGGGGAGATGCAAACAGAGGCGAGCAGCGCGCCGTTGGATGCGCTCAAGCCGGTCGTTCAGGGTTGCGGGGAGGGGTGAGAGGACAGTGCAAGCATACTCAAGAATAGGGCGAATGTAGGTTAGATAGATGGAGGAGAGAGCAGAAGTGTTTAAGGAATTGCGTAGTCGCAGGAGAAGGAACATCTTCCTGGTCGCTTTAGTGATGATGTAGTCAACATGCGAGTTCCAGCATAGATTCTGCTGTATGAGGAGGCCAAGGTGGCGATGCCTTGAGGCCACAGTGAGGTTGGTATCGTTAAGTGTGATTGATGGTGGTCTGGGAGGTGGCCGGTTGGTGTGGTGAAAGTGGATGACAGTGGTCTTACTTTCGTTGACCAGGAGATGCCAATCCTTAAGCCACTGTGCCGCGGTTGTCACAGCTGACTGGAGGTGCTCTTCTGCGGCTAGAAAATTCTCGTGAGCGGCAATGATGGCAGTGTCGTCGGCAAACTGGCTGCACTCAGTGTTGGCATTTATGCAGGCGGTTGGCAGATCAACTGTGTAGGCCGTGAACAAAAGCGGCCCCAAGACAGAGCCTTGGGGGACCCCCGCTGGAATGTTTAGCCATGTTGATTTGCTGCTCTCCACTTGCACACGTTGTCGTCTATTGGTGAGATAGGAGGCAAGCCACTGGAGGCATTTGCCATCGAGTCCGAGGTGGGCCAATTTTGCAAGCAGTCCTTGGTGCCACACCCGGTCAAACGCCTTAGAGAGGTCGAAGAAGCAAGCAATTACTGTTTGCCCGGCGTCTCTTTTCTCGGTGATCTGATGGATTAACCGAGATAGCTGCTGTGTGGTGCCATCGTTTGGCCGAAAGCCTGATTGGCCGTTGGGGAGGTGAGGTTGGATGTGCTTTGAGATGCGGTCAGCAACTATCCTCTCTTGTACTTTCGACGTCACGCTGAGTAGCGATATGGGTCGATAGTTGGAGGGCTCGGTTTTGCTGCCCTTCTTGTGGATGGGGGTGACTGTTGCGTCCCTCCACTCTTGCGGGATAGTGCAACGTTCGAAGGAGATGTTAAAAAGGGTTGCTAGGGACGGCGCAAGTGAACTGGCTGCCTCTTTCAGTAGGCGGGTTGGTATGCCATCACAGCCCGCGCTCTTTGACGGGTCCAGGTTAGACAGTAACTTTGAGACCTCTTGGGCTGTTGTTTCAAGTGTAGTTAGGCCAGGTGTATTGGGTGTGGGGGAATGAATGGAGGGAAGTTCCTCGTGGCATCCTGTGACTGACTGTTGGCTTTGCGAGATGAAGAAAGCGTTCAGGGCGGTTGCTTTTTCAGCGGGGGTTGAGAGAGTCTGGCCGTGGGAGAGCATGTCTGGCAGAGTAGGTCGTTGTGAGGACTGGAGGCCGCGCATCAGTTTGTGTAGGTTTGGTGTGGAGTGGCTCGTCCCAGTGCCATTACTGACATATGTAGACTTAGCGATTCGGAGAAGGTGAGTAACTTTGTTGCGTTGGGTGGTGTATGCTGTCCAGTTGCAGGGCGTCCGGGTGCGCAAGTAGGCACGGTAGAGCCGGTGTTTTTCTCTGATGGCGTTAGTGAGCTCTGGGTTCAGCCATGGCTTTGCGGGGTGGCTAGTATGCCTCGGGGAGTGAGGTACTGCACAGTGTTTGCGGGCGCAAGTGAGGACTTTGTCCTTCCATGAGTGCCACAGGTTGTCTATGTTGGTAGTGTTCAGGGTGTCACCTTCCGGTAGCAGTTGTGTGCGTTCAATTTCGGCTTTCAGACTGCTGATGCTTGGGTTTGACCATTTCCAATGGGTGGTGTTATGGGTGGGAGGTGGTACGGCTCGAGGGGGTGCAGCGACTGGCTTGATTAAACCCCTGATGGATAGGTGGTCCGAGTTGCCGATCTGCGGGAGACTAGAGATAAGGACATAGTCGCTGTCTACATCCGTGACGACGAGATCTAGGCAGGATTTAGGGTGCCCATTCTGCACAAGAGTGGGGAATGTGACATGTTGGTGTAGAGAGTAAGTTTGGAACAGCACTGCTAGATCCTCGCCAACAGCATCTGTCGTGTCAGAGTGGCACCAAGCGGCGTTCTTTGCATTAAAATCACCGAGGATAATCTTTTGCGTTGTTGTTGGTATGGCTCGTATCAGTTCCTCAAGGTGCTGGCAGAATAGCCGATGGTCGCAACGGGGTGGTCGGTAGACGCATGTTGTGTTGATGGTGCTGTCGTTGGCTGACAGTTTCAGCGATAATAGGTCAAAGCTGTCTGGGGTTGTTGTAGGGACGAGTTCATGAGGTATAGTGTCGTTCACGTAGAGAATCACTCCTCCACCTTGGCGGTCTGGGCGGTCTGCACGATGTAGTGTGTATCCACTGAGGGCAAACAGGGAGTCTGGATCGTGCTGGGTACACCATGTTTCAGAGACAGCAATGACATCATAAGGTGGCGTTGTTGACGATGCTATTGCTGACAGTTCGTCCATTTTGGGGTAGAGACTGCGAGCGTTGAAGGAGAAGAAAGAGATGCTATTTTGTTCATTTCCGTTTTTCATAATTTTTTTTTTTTTTTTTTTTCACTGGTGGGACCTGGTGTTGATGACGATTCCAGTTCAGGCGTGGTCCATGGTGACTCCTGTAGGACTCTGGTCAGCTAGCTTATTTTGTTTTTGTTTTTTAGAGGCATGTGGATGTTGTGCGCCTGGGGGCGTCTGCTCTAGCTGGTGGCGTCTGCGTCTGCGACGTCCGGTGTAGAGTTTCCATTCTTCCTCCGCTGCATTGAGCTTCTGCAGGAGTTGTTCGGCGCGATTTCCATCTTCCTCAAATAGGCTCTCGTCGTTGCTGTCGTCTTCCGCTGCCGTGCGAGGTGAGCCTGGCGAGTGGCAGTACATGCTTGCGCTGGGTGATAGTGCGCGGGCTGCGCTCTCGTCGGCTCGATCGATATCTGTACTAGTTCTACGAGTACGAGTTTGGTGCTCATCAGAGGCACTGGCAGTGTGTCCGTGCTGGTCTGCACTTTTGCTGGGCTGGCTGTGTTCAGTGACTTCCTGTGCGGGTGAGCTGGCAGAGGTCACAGGGGACGCTACCTGTGCGTACAGTAAGCTGACCTGGCCTGTGGAGGCTGTCGGATCTGGTGCTGGATCGTCGTTTTGGGTCTGTGTGTTGCTTGTTTCGGTGATTTCCTGTACGAGTGTGCTGGCAGGGGCCGGGGTCGCTGCCTGTGCGTACGGTAAGCTGGCCTGGCCTGGCCGGGCTGTCGCCAGTGTTGGATCTGGTGCTGGGTCTTCGTTTTGGTTCTGCCGCGTGTTGGTTGAAGTGCGGGTCCGTATGTTTTGTAGCTTGTTCGATTTAGGGCAGGAGCCGGCAAGGTGATTTTCTGAGTTGCAGAGGCGGCAAGTTGGCGCCTGGCCCTCATGCTTCACGCGGAAGGTATTGCCTTCGGCTGTCCGCACGAAAGATGGCACCTGCCTGCAGCCGTTGTTCAGGCGAACAGTTGCGAAGCGTACGCCTGTTCCGACAAATGCGCCCGACTTTGTGCGGGTACGGCCGTGGCGAATGGTGCCTTGCACCGTACCGTATTTTGTGAGTGCATGTATGATGGCGGCATCGGAGATCCAAATCGGGACGTCAAAGATGTGCACTTGCAAGGAGAGAGAATGGCGGACAGAAATATGTGTTTCGCCAAGAAAGAAACCGTGTTCTGCAATGGACTTAGTTGTAGATTGGCTGCAGAACGTTACCTTACAGGCTGATCCGGTAATTTGGACGGAGGCGACGTCAGCATAACCCTGGTCGATGAGGGTGTCCGCAATTTCTACTATCTTCTGGCCTGCGAGGCCGTCGACAAATATTACGGTATTGGCCTTCAATTCGGCCGGCGACATCGACCTCCACAGTGGCTCTGGGGGCTCAGGCTTTGGGCTGCCTGGCGCTGGGGAGTCATCCATGCTAGATAGGTAATACTAGTTAGAATAGCAGTGCATATACGCCTCTAGGGTGGGGACGTGGTCACGACACTCAGAGCTTCAAAACTTGCTTCTTACTCCTGGCGAGCTTGTTGGTTGTTGTTGTTGTTGTTGTTGTTGATTTTTATTTTACTTCGCAAGGCCAAACGGGCAATGGTGCCCAATTCTATGGAAGCGAATTTCAAAAGGGAGAGAGCTACGGGGAGAGAGAGAGAGAGAGAGAGAGAGAGAGAGAGAGAGAGAGAGAGAGAGAGAGAGAGAGAGAGAGAGAGAGAGAGAGAGGGGGGGGGGAGGGAGAGAGGGAGATGATAAGCAATTTTGCAGCGTCAACAGAGCAATTTTGCAGTGTCAATAGAGCGATTTTGAAGCGTCAACAAAGGGAACACAAAGAGTTCATAAGCGCATGGTTAAGTGATAACTACCTTGTACTACAGTGCTGGCAACTGAAATCCGACCACTGAGCGATGCGTTCACATTCTAGCGGTCTCTATTTCGTAGGTTTACTATCCCGTATTGGGTTGTTGCGATGTGAGCGCACCGCCCAGGGGTCGGATTTCAGTTGCCAGCACTCTAGTTTCACGCCATATCCAGACAATCTTCAGACAAGTGATAACAGGGATGTGCACTCGCTAGTATGGTATTTAATACACTGGTTTACCTTCTTCCTAGCACGTTCTTACCAAGCTAATTGTTCCAAAATTATGTCAGGGGCTTCGCAACCGGTCCGCAACAATAATTTAATCTTGTGACTTTTGAAGCAATGAAATGATGGGCTATTTGGACCCAATTTCCCAAACTTTTTCCAGGGGGGGGGGGGGGGGGCCTCAAACCCTCCATCCAATCATGGCCGCACCAACGTTAAATGCCTTCCAACGCCCCTGTATGTGGGTACACATGTTGCCAGTAGTAGTTATTTGATGCATATAATTATCAAATTTGGAATGGGCCTAAAACCTTCGATCGAATTTGCCGACCCGATGCATGTTTTTGGTTGTTCTATGTGTTTTGCTCTTGTCTTGCACGCAGCAAACAAGGATTACTGCAGGGAGCACGGCAACGTGTCCAACGGTCACATACTGTACTTTGGACCCCGCGTGCTGGGCAGCGTGTCTCTCCTGCGGTGTAACCATGGCAACGTTCCCGTGGATACCGCCCGTATCGCCTGTGTCCGCAAGTCACTAGCTGCCGGCCAGTGGAATGCCAGCGCAAACTGCAAAAGTAAGTTTTCTCCCGGACCCCTGATTACGAGCTGGAATGCTAAACCCGCTAAACCCATTTCATCACTTTGGGATAACGGCGAAAAAAGGATTCTTTTTACATGCGGTTTGTATCTGCATCGATGTGATTTTGGGCTCCACTTTTGAAAATTAAAGATTCTAGTCAGATTCTGAATGTGAAATCTGGCCCGGTGGTGCCCTAGACATGTAAGCGAGCAACTGATGTGAGCTTGTTTTCTTCTGTGTGTTCCTTGCAGAGAATACCTCCTATTGTCCGCTTGTTCCCATACACAACGGTCGCATTACCAACGTCGATGCCCGTGCTGAGCAGGACTTGCTGAAGATCGTCTGTGACGTCGGCTACAGCCCGTCCAACGGCGACACTCTGATTTGCCTGCAACTCAATGCCACCACGGGCATCTGGAACGACACCACCGGTTGCAAACGTAAGCGCATTGACGGTGTATGTTTTGCCTCGATCAAACCTCGAACCATCGTCCAGACAAACCGTATTTGCCCGAGTATAGTGCGCACTTTAGAAGCGCTATTTCTGGCCTCAATTCACAGGTGCGCGCTATGCTCCGGATAAGAGAATGCATGCACTTGGAAAAGTAGCGCAATGAATCAAACAGTTTGCGAAGGTTGCCCCTCTCGAGTCTCCGACCCTGCACAAGCCACATCCATAAATTTGTGGTGTCTTCTGCTAGCTACACTGCAATGCACTTAAAATAAAAGATGTGTATGAGACCCCATAGGTAGTGCGTGCATTATACAAATGTACACATTTAAATAGTTGTATGATAATTTTGTCAATGGTCACTCTATGACACTCCTTTTACAATCAATAACTTTCTCAAATCAACGCTGCGCATTGTACTCTGGATATACCTTCAAGGGGAAGTTAAGGCAAAAATTAAAATTTCACATGTTGTAGTCTTCGGGGTGCTGAGTCGAATGGTCGTGGTCCGAGGAAGCTGAGACGCTCCCTTCCTACTTGAATCCCAATCGAACTCGCGCACTTCCACTGAAACTGGATGACTGCGCCCTACTAGATGGGGATTTGTATGCAAAATGTCACTAAAAGCGCCATTTCGTTCTTATAAAAGCACGGATGACCGCGATTGGCCCATATGTTGTAGTCTTTTGGACGCTGAGTCGACTGGTTTTGGTCCGAAAAGGCTGCGATGCAGCGTTCCTCCTTTATTCCCAATCGAACATGGTTGAACAAGCGGTCACGTGCTCCTGCGTACGCCAGTCACCTGGTCACTGTGCCTGCAGGGTACAACTTACTAGCCTGTTTGTCCTTTTTTGGGTGCAGTCCTGTCACTCGAGTTGAACCTTGGTGTGAAAGTTGTTGCCTGCTGGCGTGGTGACCAGGTGATTTGGGCACCCAGGAGCACGTGACCGCTTGTTCAATCATGTTCGATTGGGAATAAAGGAGGAACGCTGCATCGCAGCCTTTTCGGACCAAAACCAGTCGACTCAGCGTCCAAAAGACTACAACATATGGGCCAATCGCGGTCATCCGTGCTTTTATAAGAACGAAATGGCGCTTTTAGTGACATTTTGCATCCAAATCCCCATCTAGTAGGGCGCAGTCACCCAGTTTCGGTGGAAGTGCGCGAGTTCGATTGGGATTCAAGTAGGAAGGGAGCGTCTCAGCTTTCTCGGACCAAGATCATTCGATTCAGCACCCCGAAGACTACAACTGGTGAAATTTTAATTTTTGCCTTAACTTTTCCTTTAACATGCAAAAATGTTGGTCAAAAAAGTGGGTGCGCATTTTGCTCATATGCACGTTATACACCGCTTAATACGGTAACATGCATTGCGAGCAGGGTGTGGATTTCTTCTGCAGACAAACATAACCCTGGAAGGAAACTGAACAATCAGATACGTCTAGAGTTCACGTAGACACAGAAATTGTGTAATTGAAATAGTAAATGATTGTCGTGCTCGTGCCATGGTACATTGCAATGGTGTCGGTTTGAAACCGCATTTCTGTAACGAACATTTTCCACTGACCTTCACCAGTGCATAATGGGTTGGTTGATGAGTCTCGTCAACCAATGCAGCTTTTCTTCACTTCTCCCAGTGTGGCTAGAACTGCATTGAGAGTGGCCTTGGGGGGCAGGGGGGGGGGGGGGGGACCGGCGGGGACTGGGGGAAGATGGCATGCAGAAGTGTGAAGCCAGCCTACCGTGTTGCCCTGTGTATAAGTCGCACTTTTTTACACTTAACTTCAGGGCAAGCAAAGGGGATGCGACTTTACAATCGAGCGCAGCTACCACTGAAGTACATGTATCGAAACTACTTGACATGGGCCTGGAAACGGGGCTGCAGCTTACAATCAGGAAAACACAGTACTTTTTACGTATCCACCAAGTAGCTGTGCATGCCCTATGCAGTACAGGAGATCGTAAGTGCTCTTATAACACTTTCCGGGTCTAACGGCAAATTGTGATTTGGCGGATTTCTATGTTCCTTTTTTCTTGCCTTATTCATGGTTTCGTATAGCACTGGAGAATTTCTGCCCAACTCTGTCGGTGGCCAATGGATACCTTTCATTTGACAAAGGTCGCCAGCCCCGGTCTTCAGCACGACTCACCTGTGACGACGGTTATCGGTGGAACTCCTCTCTTATCTTCACGTGTGATGTGCTCGAGAACGGTACTGGAGTTTGGAGTGGAACGCCATCATGCAAACGTAAGGGCTGAAAAATCATGCCTTAAAAGTGCACTGTCAGCTGATGTTATTGAGGTTGCGTACACCCGGGCCAGTCAATCTCATGTAGACAATGTGGCACACTTGATAAGTTGGGGGGGGGGGGGAAGGTCTTGCTTGTCTTGTAAAAGATGTACTGGTTACTGGTTACACTGCCTGTCTATCTATTTCTGATCTGTGCATGCGTGCGTGCCTGCGTGCGTATCTGTGTACGTGTTTGGGCACTGACATGCACTTGCGAGCAGTTCCAAGGGTTGAAGTTTGAACTGCGTAACTCTTGTTCCAGTCCTCAGCTTCACGTTGACGTTGTTCCCAGTTGAACAATGACGTCCTAATTAAGACCCTTGCTGTATGTCCTCTGCCTACACTACAGTGATGCTAGGCTACTGTCCTCACGTCAAGTTGCAGTACGGGGAGGTAGCTTACCCCGAGTACGGTGTTCTATCAACACTGGCTCACCTAACCTGTCCAGCTGGGTATAGCCCGGCGGACGGCTCTGTCTTCGTGTGCGAAGTCGACAGTCCGGAGGTTGGCCAGTGGAACACGACAGTGGAATGCAGAGGTAGGGGATAGAACATACACACACAAACACACACACACACATCCTAAGCGCTTTCTGTGTTCTGTGCCCTACACTCTTCCTGTGTGTATTGTAAGTATTTTTTAATTCCCGTAGCTATGCAGAAGACGTTACTTCAGTAACGTCTGCCGCTAGCCAGGGTCCACACAGCTTTATTTTGGTGTTTATTTGTTTGTTTGTTTGTGTCACGCCTGGAGCTATCCCGTATCTGTCCCGTATCTGTGACTACAAAGGCTCTACAGGATTGTACATACCAGCTGTCCACAATATTTGCTGGCTCCCGTATCTGTCCCATACCGTACCATCAAACACAGCTGGCCACAAGCAGCTGGCCACAATATTCGTCGTATTGTGTATACGACTCCCTGATGTAGAGGGAGATTTGGAAAGAAATAGGGAGACGAGGAGGAAATGAAATTAGAATGGACGTTAGTTGCCGAATAGGTGATAGGATGCGTGAGCAAAAACATACTTTGGAAGAGAGATCCCGTCGTCTCCAAAAAAAGCGTGAACGGGCGATTCAGCGCCGGTCACAGGAAACGTCGGAAGAGAGATCCCGTCGACTCCAGAACACCCGTGATCAGCAGAGTCAGCGCCGGTCCCAGGGAACATTTCCATCGGTTCTAACAACATGCACGATGAGCTAGGCAACAAAGCATAGCGTAGGGCCCTGAGCTTCCAAGCTCTCTCGTTTTTACTTGCGCTTTCCCAAGAGACCCTAAGGTCTTCTTACAGGGTGCCAAAGTGCCTATATGTGATGGTATCGTTATGTCAATGACGACAGATTGTGTGTGTGTGTGTGTGTATGTGTGTGTGTGTGTGTGTGTGTGTGTGTGTGTGTGTGTGTGTGTGTGTGTGTGTGTGTGTGTGTGTGTGTGTGTGTGTGTGTGTGTGTGTGTGTGTGTGTGTGTGTGTGTGTGTGTGCGTGTGTGCATATGTGTGTATGTGTATGTGTTTGTGTGTGTCACTGTGTGTGTGTGTGTGTGTGTGTGTGTGTGTGTGTGTGTGTGTGTGTGTGTGTGTGTGTGTGTGTGTGTGTGTGTGTGTGTGTGTGTGTGTGTGTGTGTGTGTGTGTGTGTAACATGTCTGTACGTGAGAGTATACGCGCTGCCCTGTGATTGCAATAAGGCGGTGCCTTTATAATCAGGAACCATCCGTGCCGCGTAAATTCTGCTGCACTAGGAAAGCTGCTTATTTTACACTGTAATATGCATAAAGAGCTCATTTGGATACTGAAAATTATGCTTGCTTAGGGTGTGTTTGGTTGGTACAATCTAGAACAGAATCGAACAGCTGGTGCACATGGAGCAGCCTCATGCCAACCACACGGTATTCCAGAAACAGAGCACATTTTTCTTTGCGAAAAAATGTGGCAAACTTGATGCATTCTTCAAAATGTGTATGGGTCACCAAGGTCACTTTGAACGATACAACGAGTCCAACCCAAAAGCGTATGCACGGGATCATTTTGTGACCAAAATCGATGTTTCTGCCAGGTTTCTGTGGGAGAACTGGAGCTATCTAGTCTCTCTATCACCCCTCTTCGCCCAACACAACACACCAGCGCAAACGGCAGCCTCTTGGTGGAAATGTATGAATCACGAAAAATGCAAGTAGGAAAAGGAGAGAGAACAAGAAAAGAACAACAAGAACACAAAATCACGAGCACTTTGGCCAGGAAAAGACACGTCTAACATGGCAGCCAAAATGGCGGCAGAGCAACCGATAGGGGCCCGTCGTGGCTGAAGCTGCTATTGCAGCGACAGCCACCACGGCCACCATTGAGTGCAGAAAATAGATCTGAAAATGAAGTCGCGCAAACAGCAACTGAAACGAAGCGAAGGAAACAACAAGACCAGCTACACGACTACGCGCAGCAAGCAAAGGCATAGCGATGACATCATTAGTCACGCGTGAACACAGAACCTAGCATGTGCATGCAGCCTTGCAGGCGCTGGCGAAATAAAAATAAAGTCAAGACGCAAATAAATAACACAACGAGCGATCGTTGCAGGAAAACAATTACAATTCAAATAAACTACTTCAAGGAAAGATGAGAAGTGAAACGACTAGCACTACAGTCCGTTCAGAAAAAGATGGGCTCTGGCTCTGGCGAGCTCCCGTATTTGGCGATTTTTCGTGATTTCATTGTACACAGTGCAGTGCTGCGAAATTTGAACTTTGAAAAAGAGTCCAAAAAGGGTACCTGAACTGGGGTTCGAACCCCACAATGCACTGTTGCAGGCAGGGTCAAACGGCCTGGATTTTGATGGTTTTTTCCAATTCAATGCTTCTGGGGCAAAACCTGGCTGATATCCTATTCTTCTTATGGCTTGCTTTTTGGACAAATAGACTTCAGAAACATAATTGGAAGAGGATTCCATAGGGGATTGCAGAAAAAAATTCTTAAAAAAACTCAACGTTTGACCCATTTATGGCCAAAAGCTAGAAGTCCATCTTTTTCTGAATGGACTGTAGAAGAAATAGAATAGAATATAGAACAAGGACAATGGAAGCGGACTACGGATGAAGCTACAATGAGGTAAGAGGCATGACACACTGATGACAGATGTCACCACAACAAATACATAATCGTAATGTTTGTCTACACACACATTGTATCGTCACACTACACACATTGTCATATTGTCACATTTCACTGTGAAAAAGTGAAACTGCTCGGTCTGCTCCAGCCTCGAGTCCGGAGCAAGCAGAACATGTTCTGGCCGACCCAGAACAGGTGCAGTCCCAACCAAACACGCTGTTCTGGTGAATCCTATTCTAGGTCGTACCAACCAAACACGCCCTTATCGAGGGTGCTGGTTGACACGGAACAACAAAGGGCATCGCTAGTTGGCTGCTGCTACTCTGAATTTAGTGCTTATGCAATCATCAGGCAACAAGAAAGATGCTATTCGTCACACCAGCATTTATGCTAGGAGAAATATTGATGGTTTTTGATTTGGCAGTAGCAGAGCACTGGATTCATTCTCTGGTCAGGATAGTGGTTTCTAATGTGCTGGTTTAAAAAATGAAGATTGTACATTTACAGCTGGTCTTCTTGTCTTCTGCTGTCATTTCTTTCTGCATGCCTGCTCCTGCACTTGCAGCCGACTGTTCCTCCGTTCAGGTAGCAAACGGCACCCTGACACACATCACGGGTAGAGATGTGCTGCAGAGAACGGCCACGCTGGAATGCGAGCCGGGATTCACGCCGGTCGACGACGCCACGGTGTTCTCCTGCATGCCGTTCACCGCAACGCAATCAAGGTTCTCAACGCAACCTGCTTGCCAATGTAAGGTGTATTCCAGGCTACTGTGTACTGTGCAGTCTTGATAGACCACCCCTGCCACGATTCAGGTTGTGCGTGCTTCCCCTAGCTGCATCTCATGTTTGGCATTAAGTGGTCTTTGTAAAAAAAAAAAAAAAAAAAAATAGAACTGCATGAGTCATAGGCAGCTGTGACTTAAAACAATTATTAAGAGGGTGAAAAAAGTGTTTTTACTCCGAGTTTCACGCAATAAGCGATCATGAGAAAACAGTCGGTATTGAGCACTCTCTTGGACAGCCTGGAAACTCTCTGTTTTGCAGCTGTGACTTAAATACTTCTGTTTAAAGGGAATGTTTGCTCCTTGCACAAACTGGTGTACACCAATGGAAATGGTGTGCATGCATACACATGGAGACGTGGGAACACACACTCATACTCATACTCCTGCCCATTGCTGGAGCGACTATAGTGAACAAGTTATGTTAGCCACGCATCTTGTGCTGGTATTACACCATTCAACAGTTTGCAAGGCTGATGAATTGACCGCCACTAAACTTAACCTGGTCTACACCGCACAGCTGGTTGAAGTGGATTTTTCTGGCCAATGAATCTATATTTTTCTTATTTTTCTTTCTTTTTTCTTTCTTTTTTACACACGCACACAAACACACACACAGTTACAAACATACTGGTTGGATGATGCACAGCATATACAATATTGCTAGCAAGCTATGACACTGGTACTGCAATGAAGGAGTGTAGGGGCTACATTTTAATACCTATGTATGTACGGTATCTGTACTGTGTATCTGTACACTCCCACTTAAAGATATACTCGAGTTCTGCCCGGCATTGGAAGACTCGCTTGGCAACTTCACGTACGGCAGAAACCGTACCCTGGGGGATAACGCCGTACTGGGGTGTAACACTGGCTACAAGCCATCATCCCAGACCTCTCCAACGTGTATCTTCGAGGGAAGCAGGCAAGCAGGAAGTTGGGACCTCGCTACCGAGTGCATAGGTGAGTAATGAGTGGACAATCCGGCAAAAAAAAACCACTTCCTGGCCAACAAACTCTAGTTTGATGTGAAACTTCGTTCTCCATTCTAACAAGAGTGCATTACACCCACAGAGTGCAGCGTGTGTGTGTGTGTTGCTGTCAGGGAGAAATTCTGGGATTACGGCATGTACATCATTTCAGTGGTTTAGTGATGTTGACGTACACGGGAGAGAGGTACAATAAGAATCGGCAGTAGCTTAAAGTTTCATGCCAAAGCGATCATAAAAGTTAAAACTCCTCTCTCTCTCTCAGATGTGAAGAAGCTGTGCAGTCTGAATACATGTACTGTACACTCGGGTTTCTCTTCAATGAGGAAAATTTGCATGTGGTCTGTGATTATCATTGTAAGCTGCTGCTGATGCCAATGTATGTTGCTGATAGTGTCACTGAATGCTACCAATAATGTCCCTGTATGTTGCCGATGATGTCATGGTATGTTGCCGATGATGTCATGGTATGTTACCAATGATGTCACTGTATGTTGCTGATGATGTCACTGTATGTTGCTGATGATCTCACTGTCCATTGCAGTGAACACAGAGTACTGTCCCAAGATTTTCTTCAGCAGGGGCGACACCCAATACTCACAGCAGAGGAAGCTGGGATCCGTGGCAACATTCAAATGTCACCCAGGTTTCGAAGCTACAACACAGGCCTATTGCTCAGCTGCTCAGCCACTGCACGGTGTCTGGAGTACAGATGAAACTTGCGAACGTAAGAGCTTCTCCTCCTTAGACCGTTCCACACCTGAGCCTTCCAAGTTAGAAGTTTGTTGGTTTGCGCTTCGTAGATGTGCTGGAGCTAGGTGTGAGGTCGTTGAATGTCTCAATATCCTTGTCAGTTTTGTGCCTTGTTGTCGCACTATCCGACTGTATAGGATCTCTTTACCTTGGTGGACCGTTAGTCGTAACTATTAACTTATTAGTCCTTTCTCTCTACTTACAATATTGGCTCAACATCCAGGTTTTTGTAAGAGCTTCTGACGGATATTGCGTAAAACTAGTGATGTAACGACTAATCGATTATTCCAATTTCCTCAATCTCTTGGACCTCAACGAATAATCGATCAGATAAATCCAGGTCGAAAGTTCGAGAATTCAAATATTCGCGGGCGGGCGAAGTCCGTGCGATGCACACAGCACGCGCGACTCTAGATCTCTCGACTTGAATGCATGAACTGTGTACTGTGTTGCTGACAACGACTAGACTCCACGCGGTAGACCTTGGTAGACTCTACTGTGACTCGAGTCTGAGCGCTTGTGTTGTGTGTTTGCTACATGAGCACTTTTTGTTGGAACAGTAGAATAATTGTTCGTTCGCTTGAGTGGTATTCGCTAGATTATTCGTTCGTAGAATTCGATTTTTTGTTACATTATTATTATTATGAACAGTTTCGCGTACTTGAGGACCAGCCTCTTTCCGCCTCTGTGTTCCTGAGCAATAGAAGGAGAGAGACGAAACTATACTATTATGATGATGACAAGGGAAGACATGGACTGCTTTTTGTTACATCACTACTTAAAACTGATTTGCCGATGGGAAATTGTTTCAGTCTTGATAGTGTATTCCTGCCATGTATAATAGTGATTCACACTCTACCATTACAGTTGTGGAACAGCATAATAATACATATTCAGGTAGCCAACAACAACCAGGGAGCATAGTCTCTTGCTGCCTTTTGCGGATACTTTCCACTGATGCTCAACTTTGCTTCTTTGTTGATATTTCAGCGAAGCAAGACTTCTGCATACTGAACGTGGCCATAGAGCATGGCGAGCTCGAGTTCCCCAATAACAAGACAGTCCTCTCGACGGCCACACTAGTCTGCGCCGCTGGCTACATTGTTGAGGGCAACGACCTTCTGGATTGTGTAGCTGTAGACCATACGCATGGCGTGTGGGTCAGCGAAGGCCACTGCATTGGTAAGTGGACAGATATGCCTTTAACAGTCTAGGGAACTTGCTATTTGCCGGCAATTTTCTGGTCTAGCCAACTGCCCTAACCAACTAAGCTACTGTCAGGGGCATCGGAACTGGTGCGGCAGGTCCGGCCAAAGCCACACCAATAGTTTCATCTTGCGACTTTTGAAGCGATGAAATATGGGCTATTTGGGCCCAATGTCCCTGAAATTCTCCCGGATGGGGGGGGGGGAAGGGGGGGGGGGGGGGGAGCGGACCTCCACCTACTTATGCGGCCGGACCAATGTCTAATACCTTCCGACACCCTGTACAGTATGACTCTCATCCATGGTTATGACAAATCTATTCTTCTTCGATCACTCGATATCTGGCTTGCATCATACTGGCAACTTTCACAACTGAAGAGGGCACTTGACCAACAAATTGCTCTTGAATAGCTAGGTGTGCCTGATGACTTTCTTTCTTCCTTTCATATCTGGCCTGCAAGTGCTAAGTTTTGGAGAGAAAAACAGCAGTACGAGGCAGGTGGCTGAATTTCCTTACACTTTGAATTTCTCCATGCAGTCCAAATTTGACATCGCATGGTCTAGTGGTATATGAAACCTTGGCAATTATTCATCAAAAATTCTGGAAACACTAAACATTCGAATAGATTACAACACCGTAAAAGCTGTCACATCCTTACTTTGAGGCGAGTTTCCTAACCTTTGTGTTGATGCCCACTTTGCTGCCATAGAGGTGTCTATCACATGTCTTGGGTAGATTTCTGTACCTCCTGGGCTCTCTAGTCTTCTCCTCTCTTTCTATGGTTACCCTTCTCTCACTCTATAGTCTCTCTGTCCCTGTCTCTGTCTCTCTTTCTGTCTCTGTCTGTCTGTGCGTGTGTGTCTCTCTCTGTCTCTCTCTGTCTCTCTCTGTCTCTCTCTGTCTCTCTCTGCCTCTCTCTCTCTCTCTCTCTCTCTCTCTCTCTCTCTCTCTCTCTCTCTCTCTCTCTCTCTCTCTCTCTCTCTCTCTCTCTCTCTCTCTCTCTCTCTCTCTGCCTCTCTCTGTCTCTCTCTGCCTCTCTCTCTCTCCCTCTCTCTCTCTCTCTCTCTCTCTCTCTCTCTCTCTCTCTCTCTCTCTCTCTCTCTCTCTCTCTCTCTCTCTCTCTCTCTCTCTCTCTCTCTCTCTCTCTCTCTCTCTCTCTCTCTCTCTCTCTCTCTCTCTCTCTCTCTCTCTCTCTCTCTCTCTCTCTCTCTCTCTCTCTCTCTCTCTCTCTCTCTCTCTCTCTCTCTCTCTCTCTCTCTCTCTCTCTCTCTCTCTGGCTCTCTCTCTCACTCACACACACACGCACGCACACACACACACACACACACACACACACACACACACACACACACACACACACACACACACATACACACACACTCACTCACTCACTCACTCCTTCTCTCCTCTTGCTCTACTATCGCCTCTCTCATCCTCTTGCTCTGGTCGCGTTATATTCTCTCTATCATATTTATGCTTGTCTCTGTCTTTCTCCGATCAACCAATCACTCTTCCTGTCATTTTGTCCTCGTCATGCTATGATGCACAGAGGCAACAGAGACAACTACGCAAAATCTCATCATTGCCCTGCCCAGTGTGGCTGCAGGCCTCTTCCTGATCAGTGCCCTCGCGCTGCTCTTCCACGGCTACATAAAGCGCTCGCAATCCAAGCGCCACATTGGCCACATATTCTCGCGCACCATGATGTCGCACATGGACAAGAGCCGGCATCCGGGCAGCATGTCGGCGTACAGTATGCCGATCAGGAAAGGCAAGAAGCCAGCCAGCACGACGACCGCCCTCATGGGATCGTTCAGCGAGCCGGAGATGCTGGATGACCAGTACGACTGCTTCCCAGCCACCAGGGGCAGGGCAGACAGTGACAATCGCAGTACTGCTAGTTACAATATGTTCAATGGCAAAGGTAATCTCAGAGCACTGCCAGAATCAAATGGCAACAAGCAGGCCGCCGGCAAAGCCAAGAAACCTTTGGTGTTGACAGATTCAGGCTTCATCTATGATGAGGGGATGCTAAACGATGGCAGCTACGATGAGTTCGGCAATGTCTCCCCGAGGGTGGCGCACTCACAGTCCGCTATGCTGCCCAGTGAGCAGGATATTGCCGCTGCAATTAGCTATCGCAACAATGTCCACCGGAAATCACAGGTCGAGACCAGCTCCATGTACGAATCGTTTGCTTCGTGTGTCGACTCCGCGCATCGGGATCGTGCTCATTCCAGAGGGGCTAGAGATTTCAACGAGTTCGACTCTATGCATCGAGATCGTGCTCATTCCAGAGGGGCTAGAGATTTCAACGAGTTCGACTCTATGCATCGGGATCGTACTCACTCCAGAGGGGCTAGAGATTTCAACGAGTTCGACTCTGTGCAGCAGAATCGTGCTCAATCCAGAGGGGCTAGAGATTTCAACGAGTTCGACTCTATGCATCGGGATCGTACTCATTCCAGAGGGGCTAGAGATTTCAACGAGTTCGACTCTGTGCAGCGGAATCGTGCTCAATCCAGAGGGGCTAGAGATTTCAACGAGTTCGACTCTATGCATCGGGATCGTGCTCACTCCAGAGGGGCCAGGGAGTTCAGCGAGTTTGCCATCGGTCGACATCCCAGCATGTCCACTCCGCGCCGCAGTCAGCAACTGAGTCCGGCACCGCGCTCACCCAGCCCCGTCGGTGCTGGTTCACTCATACACAGCTTGGACAGCAGCGGCGAGAGGGAGTTCGACACTGTCACCCTGGACTCGCGTCTAATGCCAGGTTGGTAGAGCCGTTGGAGGACGCTGCTCCTAATCCTGGCACAACATGTATACGTTATGTGCATTACAATTAAAACGGACATTTCTTCCCACTGTGTTTTCACACTGCATGTGAAGGACAATTGTGATTCGGTCACCCTAGATTCACGTCTAATGCCAAGTTAGTAGAGCGGTTAGTTGTCGCTGCACAGAATCCTGGCACAGCATATAATTAATTTGTTATGTGGCCATTGACACATCATGGACCTTTTTCCCACTGTGTTTTCCCACTGCATGAGAAGGGTATTTTGTGACACTGTCGCACACATGTCTAATGCCAGGTTAGTAGAGCCGTTAGATGTCGCTGCACACGGTCCTGCACGGCATGTGTACGTTGCATCCACGACAACTAACGGACTTGCTTCCTCGCTGTGTTTTCACACTGCACGAGAAGGGTATTTCTGATACTGTGGCACTCGACATGGGTCTAATACCCGGTTTGTAGAGGCTACCATCATATGCCGCTGATCTGAATCCTGCACAACATAATACTACGTTACATCCATGACACTTCGTGGACTTTTTCATACTGTGTTTTCACACAATGCACGAGAAGAGTGTTTATCTGGTTGCATGTACATGTACATGTATCAATGATTGAAAACTTAGCTTCCATTTCTAGGTCATTAATTTTGTCATCTGCATGGGAACATTTCATGAATATTTCTCCCTTCTCTAGCTCTTCAGAGCTTGCGATGGATTTTTTGATGACGTTGCTGCCTTTCATTCTCTTCAGCATATCTGCCCATACAGAATCTCCTATCACAGTGAAGAGTTACACAGAGTTTGTAGAGGCTGCAATCAGATGTTGCTGATTACAGCACAACTTATGTGCTGTATCCACAACACTTCGCTGACTGTTTTCCACGCTGTATTAAATTTCTTACGTTGCTCGACAAGAGGATTTGATTGTTTGCGTGTAGCAATGATTGAAAACTCAATTAATTTTCCTAGGGTTTTTTCACTTTCATTAGAGCTTTTCACGATTATTTTTTTCTCCCTTCTCTTCACAGCTCTCAATAGTTGTTTTGAGGAAATGCATGGTCTCGGCGCTATGTCTGCTTGTACAAGAATCTCCAATTCTTGAACATTATTGTCAAGTTTACGTTACAACTGGTAGTGCATCTGCCATGTTTCATATCATTTCATTCAGCCTCACCTGAGCACACCTAGACACTGAAAAACAAAAGAATGGCAGATACAAGCCTCTCGGATCACTTGAACAGCCGTGCGGACGCCGCTCGTTGATTGCTTTGTTGACCGATTCTAATTTATTTTGAAGGGATTGGGTGAACAATAGAATTATTCAAAAGATCAGTGGGGGAAGCGAACTGCCTGAAAACAGAAAATAGTGCCAGACCCACCAGGACTCGAACCCTGGATCTTGCTTGTCATGAGCAATACTCTAACCATCTGAGCTACATGTACATGTATGGGACCAGGCCGAGATTAGAAGGCGCTGAAAGTTGTTCACTTCAAAGGCCGGAATCTTCCTTTGGATTCTAATCAACCTTTTTACTCCATGCAATAGTCTATAGCGTCGAGTGGAATTGCACACCCCCGGCCCCGGCCTACCCTGTTTGCGACGACTGCCTAGTGAAGAGTTCAATCGCAGAACTGTACGGGTGCTGAGTGTTACCATGGTTACTTTGGGCACTTTCAAAGTTTGTATTTGTGTTGGGATTCTCCACAGGCCTAAGTCTAAATCGAGGGAGTCTCCGTACTTTTGTACTGGCCAAGCACTGGATGCATGGGCGGCCAAGCTGGAGGCGCTCGTAGGGAGATGCCAAACATTCAACTGAACTGTAAACTAAGCCTTGTTCTCACTCCTTCCCTGGAGGCTGGAACCGTCAGGTCTAAAGACAAAATTAATGATCTTCCTTTCGCCATGCGCATGCGTTGACTGACAGCTCAGCTCACCCTATGGCCTACTAGTACTGGTATGCCCCCACTTCAGCGAAACCCTTACCCGCGCGGCTCATTCCAACGCGCTCACGATCGCGAACCCCAACCTCCATCCACCACACTCAAATGGAACAATCTCATTTGAGCGCAGGCTCATTTTAGCATGATCCCTATGTAAAACCAGTGCCGCCCCTGCTCAGTAGCTGTTTGTTTTTGTACACATAATTATTTATTTTACGAGTTGGGTTTGTGAATAATAGTAAAAAAACACACACACACACACACACACACAAAGTAACGAAACTCATTTCGACGCAATTCAAAGTACTGTACTAGAGTGCTTTGGAGTTACTTGTTGTTTTTGGAGAGTTACTTGTTGTTTTTGGAGAGTTACTTGTTGTTTTTCGAGAGTTACTTGTTGTTTTTCGAGAGTTACTTGTTGTTTTTCGAGAGTTACTTGTTGTTTTTCGAGAGTTACTTGTTGTTTTTCGAGAGTTACTTGTTGTTTTTCGAGACTTACTTGCTGTTTTTGTACTAGAATGAGGAGTGCTTGAGCTGCATGCCCTTGGTCATCATGATATTGACAAGCAGAAGGCATCGACGTGTGTGACTTTGTTTGTTTGTTTGTTTGTATTTATTTTGATGAGCAAATTCAAACGGGCATAGAACCCAATAACATTAAAGCGAATATGAAAATTATAATGAAAATGAGAATTAAAATACATAGATCTTCAGCGTAGAGTCAGCGGTACATCAGAGGGAGATCGGATACAACAGAAAGAGAACAGAAAAAAAACAGAAGACTTCGCTTGTCTTCAGCATCTACAGGGCACTTTGCCCAGTGTAGGGTCTATCGTTCTATCAGCTGCAGGCGAGTACATACAGGGTATTTCGGTTGGGTATTGCTTTTTTTCTTTTTTATCACATTGCACATACCTACGGAAGAAGGGGAGACAAAACGAAGACGAAATAAAAAAAGACAACAACGGGTGTGTAGCCGCCACATGAGCTGCGCTGGTGAGATGCAGTGGACTCCCCCGACCAAGGGTCTCGGGATCGGCGTACACAGCAAGAACCATAGGAGAGGGGGGCGAGAGGAATGGCGGAGAGAGAGAGAGACAGAGACAGAGAGAGGGAGAGAGAGCGTGCACAAGAAAGAAGAGAAATAGAGAGAGAAAGAGAGAGATGGGTAAGTGAGGGAAAGAGAGTGAAAGAGGTGGAGAGATATAAGTAGAGAGAGAAAGGGTTCAGCGGCATATCGTCGCTATGACTATAATGCTACTTTTAGAAGAGGGTCAACATAATGATTTGCGTCCACTGATGGCAGGCCAGTGTGATACATGTGCATGGCTAGCACCAGTCATGAGCAGAGCACCAGTCACTCTGTTGCGGGTGACGGTATGCAGCAATCTTGAAGCTCTGCAGGTGTATCCGGGCTGGCTGCTTGTCCAGGATTGCCTGTGGCAGTCTATTCCACACTGGCACGATACAGTATGGGAAAGAGCGCAGAAGGTAATCAGGAGCTCGTGGCGAGAGATTCAGCTCAAGCTGGTGGGGATGGTGCTGTGCTTGGGCTGCTCGTGTGCGGCGATGACGTGGCGGTATAGCCGGCGGGGGGACACATGGCTGCAACTTGAGGCAGACCATGGCCACACATCAGTTTGTACAGTAGGCAGAGAGCAGACACCTTTCGCCGAACAAGGAGGCTGGGAAGAAAGATACCAGGACCAATGACATTTGGGGCGCGGAGCTGGACAGCATCCAGCATGGCCAGGTGTGAGGGAGCTGATCCCATCCACGCAAGGGGGCATATTCCAGCATTGGCCGGACGAATCCTTTGTAAACAGTCACCCTGCCCGCGTGGCTGAGGAGGGGTGCTGCCTTCCGCAGGAGGCCCAGCCGCTGCTTAGTACGTGATGCCACTTGCCGAAGGTGGAGTCTGTAGCTCAGTTTAGAATCAAACGTCACTCCGAGCACCTTCTCAGATTCATCTGGTGGGAGAGGAGCTCCGCGAAATGACAGCTGGGGAGTCACTGTATCCTTCCGCTGGTGCGACAGAGTGATAGTTTGTGATTTTGATGGCTCAAACCCACTCTTCCATCTCTTGCCCCAGGCATGAAGCTCATCTAGGCTGCGTTGTAGTGAGGCATTCGAGGCTTGGTCAAGGAGGGAGTACAAAGTTGTATCATCAGCAAAAGTGTTCAGGTTTGTGCCATGCGACAGCAGCTTGAAATGTCGTTTACGTACACGAGGAACAATGTAGGTCCAAGGATACTACCTTGTGGGACGCCAGACTGGACAGGGTGCACCGCTGAGCTCTGGCCATGAACAGCAGCTTTAATGGTGCGACATTGCAGGTAGTGGGTAAGCCATGCGAGCAGTGAACCCCTATCCCCAGCTGGTGGGCCTTGTAAAGTACGCCAGCATGAGACACTTTGTCAAAAGCCCCCACTATGTCCACGGCAACTGCTTGCATAGCTCCACCTTGTGCCATGGCATTGGCCTACTCATACTGTAGGACAGTCAGGAGGTCTGCAGCTCCGGTGCCACGACGAAAACCGTATTGACGAGTATTCAGCAGACGGTGGCGTTCCAAGAAGTTGACAAACTGGGAGTTGACTATACTCTCCATTACTTTCGACAGGATGCTGAGGAGAGACATAGGTCGATAATTCGAAACAATTGACTTGGAGGACTTCTTGTGTATGGGGGAAACATGGGCTAGTTTCCAGGAAGTTGGCTGAACCCCTGCTTTGAAGCAGCAAGAGAATAAGCAAGCAGCAGGCTCTGCCAGCTCCCTGTGGCATTCCTTGAGGACTCTAGCTGATATGCCATCGGGGCCAGTGGCCTTGTGCGGATTTAGCGCCGCTAGTTGACAACGGACATTGGCTGGACGAAAGTGGATGGCTGTGATCTGAGGCGCCGAGGCATCAAGTTGCATAGCAGGGAGCTGATCAGAGGCAGAGAAATCGTTGGAGCCGAGGCTGCACTTCATGGCAAAGTATTGGGCAAAGCACCCGGCTTTCTCCCTAGCAGTGGCGTGCTCGTGTCCAGATCTGTCGACCAGGACAGGTATATCGCTTTGGCGGCTAACACCAGCAGCTCGCTTAATAGCTGTCCACCATTGCTTGTCTTGCAAGGAGCCAGATGACTGCTTTCTAGAAGCTCGCTCCTTGCATTGCTGTGGGGCATGTTGCAGAACATGCACACAATGTGTAACGGATGCCAGGAAGGTTTCTTTCTGTTGCAAGCTATCGGGGTCTTGCCTCCAGACTCTCCAGGCTTGTTGCTTTAGGTGCACCGCTTGTTGGCAGGCAGGTGTCCACCAGACCGGGTCAGTGGCCATTACTTTAATGGCTATAATAATAGAATAAACTGAGACATGGCATCACGCACAATTCCTGTGAGGGCTTCACAAGCAGCGTCAGGGTCATTTGATCGGACAGTTGGCCAGTTAATGCGGCTAAGATGTGCGCGCATCCTTCCCCAGTCTGCTCTAGCATACTGCCAGACGGTTCTTAGGGCCGGTTGCTCCTTGCGGGGACGTACGGTCTTGAACTCCGTTAAGATAGTGACATTGTCTGAGCGTCCAAGCGGCGGACCAGTGGTGACAGATGCTGCACCTGGGAGGTCGGATATAACTAAGTCCAGTGTGTTGTTCTTTCGGGTTGGTTCGGAGACATGTTGGGTGAGGTAGTGCGAGGCGCACAAGTCCTAAGGCTTCCCCAGCAACAGTGGTCTTTGTGCTGCCCAGCCAAGCGGTGTTGTGGACATTGAAGTCACCCGTGATCAGAACATAGTCACTGAGGTGCCGGACAGCGAGCAAGGTCTCCTCAAGATACTCCATAATACTGATATCTGACTCACTGGAGCTCCCAGACCGGTAGAGGGCGGAGAATACAATTTTATGATGATCACACGTTTCAATAAGAAGCCAGGTGACTTCAAAGTCATGACATGGCACGGTGTCAAGGTGACGAAAGCACAGACCTGCTTTTAGCCATACTGCAACACCGCCTCCATGTGCAGTGCGGTCCTTGCGTAGATCTACTGTGGGGCAGTATGTATGTATGTATAACTCATAATCACAAGGTGATCGTAGAGGCATTAATCAGCGAGAGAATTGTGAATGGCAGTATCCGGGTATTATTGTTTCAGCTGGAGACATTTTCTAGGCAGTGAGTTTTGTCTCAGTTACTATGGCAATGTCTACAGTCTGCTGACGGAGGGCATGTTGTAGCTCACCGAACTTGGACTGGAGACCGAATGCATTGGTCAGAAAGATCGATAGACTTGACATATTTGTTTGTGGCTTAGTTGCTTCCTGGAAGAGGGTGTAGCGGTGGCGGAGGGGAATCTGAGACGGGGCATCCATGTCTATCACTGGCTCCTGGTCGGTCGCGCTCATGTGTTGATCGTTTGGAGATTGCTTGTCGGACAGGGGCTGGTCCTTCTCAAAATTCCACTGGCGTGAGTATACAGATCGCGGCCAGAATCCCTTGGAGTTGACCAGCGCAGCCGTTTTCGAGTTGAGTACGAGTCGTGCGGAGGATCTGGCTTCCTTCCGGAAGATCTTGCACTCGTGGATTTTGACTTGAGTTTCGGCTGAGCTTGCTCGGGTGGTGACGAACTGACTGAGTTTCTCCGTAGTCGTGTCACTCCGTAAGTTCCCCACAAACAGTACTTTCCGCTTTCCCGTGGGCTTTGTGCTGCAAACTAGCTCCCAAAGTCCACTGTCCTCGTTGTCGTCTTCAAAGCTGGGCAGCAGGTTTGAATTTGCCGATCTTTCATCACGATGCACCTCTGGTACACGTGCTCGAGCAAGGGGCTTTGGACTGTCGGCTTTCCGAACGCGGATTGCGTATCAGACCAAGCCTTGCATAGGTGCAAACGGCAATCGAACTGACGTTGCAGCTCTCTCCAGCTAGCAGTTTGGATACTCTCCGACTCAAGAACGGACAAACAGGTTAATTAGGGCGTAATATTTTACCCTGGTGTGAATACTGAATAGACTGGTCTAATAGCTATCACGTGACCGTAGAGCCGTACAGGGCAGCCATGCCTCTTCCAATTCCAGTCAAACCCTGTTTTGTTGAATCCTGGTGGTGACAGTCAACTTTTCTTCAGACTTTTCCCGTTTGTGTCTTTCCCTCAAATCGGTGAAAACTAGGGGTGAAACAATTATACCGAATACTCGAGTACTCGCTCGGTTTTTTCAGAAATAATCGTGCTCGGAATAAATCAGAGTACTCGTTCATACGTGGTACATGCATTTACCACAGAAATCTGCAGTTTCAGAGCAGCAGTGGTCAGATATTGATGTGCAGTCTGTGTGGTGAACATTTGTTCACGAGTAGAGGGAGCCCAAATGACCCAGCAACCAATATACCTGAGAAAAATGATTGCTACTCGGTTCAAGCAGGGTTGTATCATGTGATTTTAAGGCCCTCGGTGTGCAATTTATAGGAGATGATGAATACTCGAATACTCGAATATTCGATCGGAGAAAATCAGAGTACTCGAACTCGGGATCTCAGTGCCAACTTTCACCCCTAGTGAAAACCTATTTTGTATTTGTATTTTTGAAGTTGTATTTCAAAAAATAATCCAGAGGCTCTAGGCCTGTCTATTCACGTACCTCTAACGTTGTGATTGCAGGTGGTGGGTCCCCGGACTTGGTATAATGGGTAGCACAAAACAGCTTAAAAAGAACTACAGTTTCAGTTCGTTGATACAGTAGGGGAAAAAGAGCGTGTGTTCTTGTGTGCTGCAGATGACAGCTATAACTGCATAAGAGTATCAAAAGAATCACTCCCTCTCCCTCTCGGACATGACCTTGAACCCATTCGTTTCTGAAGCCGACAAAGTTGCATGGCAAAGAAGTGCAGAACTGAGTGTCAAAGGGGAGGGCGGAAAGTGCTATTCATGGTCCGCAGTCGGTACGCCCTTTTGCTTTCCTTTTCTCATTGTTGTAAACCCGGAGAATTACAATACTGTAGAACGATCAAGGCCGAGGCAGGCCCAGAATGTCGTGGCTTGATAATATTATTTTTCATGGACTGCACTTGACGTGCAGTCCCTGCTCGCTGCTGCACGCGATCGATTTTTATGGCGATCGCCTGTTCATACTTGCTCTGTGACGCCCCGACGGCCTTAGGGCTATGGGCTTGTGATGATGCTGATGATGAGAACGATCAAGAACATTTGACACCCAATTATTCCAACATCGCCCAACCTCATACTGCATGCTATGGTTCCCTTTGGAAAGGGCTGGCTAGAATTAATGGATTTTGTACACTGGAGATACGCCCTACAACCCCTGAATTCTGCTTTTGGGGCCATCGACATTCGATGGCCCTGCTTCACACCAAGAAGAAAAATTGTTTGTGAATGAGGACTTTTCAAATTTTGAAAACATAGATGTGTGTGTGTGTGTGTGTGTGTGTGTGTGTGTGTGTGTGTGTGTGTGGTGTGTGTGTGTGTGTGTGTGTGTGTGTGTGTGTGTAAGTGCATGTTAGCTGGTGAGAGTGAGTGCTAACTGTGGATATAGAGCATTGCAGTCGTTCTGAAGCAAACCTGTTGCACTGGAAGAATTCATATAGCCTGGCAGTTGGGGAATAAATAGCAGAGTCGTAATATTATGGCTCCTTATACTGTTCTGATGCGTGTGTGTAGATCGGCTCAATTGATTTCCAGAATGGCAGGCCGGAATGACGGCTCTGATAATCACGCTCAAGCATAGCTAGCAGAATATTTGATTGGCTCAACAAAAGCGAAGAAAACCTGGAGACGTCCGGAGGGTATGCAGCAGATTTAGGAGAAAGAGAAAGAAAGAGTAAATCTGGAGTGGATGTATTACGGTCAAAGTGGGTAAAAGTGATTTTGACGAAATCACAACCCGGTTTTTGTCTATGATAACTCAAAGCGAACCGGAGAGTAGTTCATGGCAGAGCGTACTTTGTTTTCTTCTTTACCATACGCCCTCTCCTTTCTTGATATCATGATCGCAAGATAGTAGACTGCATAGTTCTCGCTGTGGTCGTGTATGTCCACTTCGCCTTTGGCTGCAGTGCAGGCTGTGGTTCCGAGTGCCGGAATACGACCCATGTCGCACCACTCTACTACATTTGACGACCACGGTGACGGAGTCGTTACCGCCGGGATATTATCTTCACGTTCTCGGCACGGGTCATGACGAGCAGCCCCGTCGCATGGCGGTCTCGGCAAAGTGGCGCACTTTCCGCTTCCATCGGTACACGGTGCTGTCGGCCGTCAGCTGAAACGTGTCGGACACCGTGTCCACGCTGCCGGAAATGAAGTAGTTGCGACCGGGTCGCATCTCGCATGGCTGGCACTGGTCCGCCGGGGCTCTGGCCAGGATGAACTGCATGGGCGGGATGAGTTGGTCATCGTCCTGCCCGTCGCCAGCCGCGCCCTGCCCGTCGTCCGTCCCCGATGACCGTGCACCTCGCTCCGATGCGCCGGACGAGATCTCCGGAGGGCGCAGGGAAGAGCCGCGCGGGTTGTGATACGCCATCATACCGTAGATGGGCTTGTGGCGAGCGGCAAACACCGCGAACACGCGCAGGCGATGGTGAGTCACATTGCTACTCATCAGTCTGGCACCAATAGCTGTGGAACAGGACAACACACACAGAAACATAGTTATTATACACAAACTCAGATAAACAAGAAGCCCATTCGGTATACATGAAAAGTATCTATTGCACACATGCAGTGCTGGTCAGATATATCCAATCACGTGATTTTTACTTCGAAGTAAGTACATGAAGAGCACTGTGCAGAACATGGGGATTTTCAACCGTGCAGAGCGCAAAGCAGACTAACTTGATGCTTATAATTATTGCAGAAATTGGTGTCCTGCATGAGAGAGGCTAGAGCCGCTTGTGCACATGCATATACACACAAACTGCTACAATAAATCCCGATCAAGAAACATGTACTTTGTAAATCCAATCAAGACAATTTTGTAAATGTCTTAATCAAATTGGACTTGTTGGTTTGGATCTCAATGAGTATCACTGCAGTGTTTACACCATGGGCCGTGCGGCAGTTTTCTACCCTCCAGGGAAGGATCCAGGCCCAGGGGCAGGGGTTCCGCAGAACATGCACATGTACCAGCTCTTCAGTTGTGGCTAAACTGGACCCCTAATGTAGAGAACTTTGGATCTGTCCCTGCGCTCCGCAGAGTAATCCAATGAGACTTACCGAAATCCATTGAGCAGATGCCTTCCCGTATGTCCGCGCCCTTCTGTGCTTCGGGCACGCGGTAATGTGTGTCGGCGCACCGTCTGCACCTTGCCCCGTCCTGCTGCTGCCGCTTAGATTTGCTAAGGACCGGTGCGACGGTAGACGTTGACGCCCAATCCTGGTTCTGGCCTTCGGGTCTCGGCGAATTGCCTGTTACCAATCCCGAGGAAGAACGCTGCACAGTCGAAGAAAAGGAGCAAGGACAACAATAATCAGTAAAATACGTTATTCGGGAAAACTCGGAGTGGAAGTAGAAACAGTTAGCCACTACAGCTGCAGTACGACCCCACGGCAATAAGTATGATGGTGTTCAGTAGGGCTCTCGAACTTGGAACACTGCTTGCCAGTGTACTTGCGTTTCCATTCCGAGGTTTCTTCGAGCATGCACCGTAACAGTGTAACTAATAATTACTTATCCTATGCTGGTCCCTTGCACGTCCTAGAATCATGAAGCTCTGGGCAGCCTGCATCATGCATAAACATGCATTTCATTTAATTCATTCACTCCCTGTCCAACGTGACTCAAGCGCGTGGAAAACTACAGGTGGCCGCTGGTGTAGTTTCAGTGTAGAGCAAAAAACGGTCGTTAATTAAAAGCAGGTTGTCGCTAAAACCAGAGGTCGCTTACACCAGGTTTTGCTGTATTTCTTACCTGATGAATGGAGTCGCCTTTTGCCAGCCAGGTGAGATTGAAGCGCTTTTGTGGCAGGTCGATCACCCTGTCTTCATCCATGTCTGGGTGACGTACAATACCCCAATTATTTGTGTCCGGAACGGTAACTGGAACTGGCTTTGCACCTATCGTACACGCGGGAACACAGTAACACAACAGAAAACAATGCAATCAATAATAGTTATGTTGTTGGATGTAGACCTACACGACAACCTGCAACGCGTCCTGAATATCAGCGAGTGTAGGACTGAATGAAACAGTACGTGACTTGTGTGGTATTCGACACATTGGTGTTTCCCTAACCTAATCTTCTCCGTAGCCACTGTTACAAGATGCAAACTGTTACTTGTCACTGATCGCCAGAGACAGATATTTGTACTTGTAAACATGAGCTAAACGTTTGTTTCATACATGACACAAACTAGTGCGACCTGTTAACATGTTGACTAAAGTGTTGAGTGAGAAAACAGACTGCTGAAAAAGTGGGCGCGTGCGTGTCATTTGACGTCTAGCGCGAGATTGACACGACTATCTTCTGATCTTGACGCCTCCGTACTGTCGTTGTGGGGAATTCAGGCGCTAGATTGAGCGCGCGAGTTCGTCACTTGGCCACGGATAAACAAGGGATTGACCAGAACTGAACGATCTTTCGTTGATGAGTCACCTTTAAGCGTCAGCAACATGTTTGCTCTTGCAAAGACTTATTAGGTTAGAATATAGTGTTGGTGCTTCCTCGCTTCTGGATGACGGGAATGCGAACAAACAGCACGACTCCTGACTGATGAGAACAGAACCAGTTCTAGACTACAGCCTACACTGAGCCGAGACGCGAGCTGCTCACCGCTTGTCTGTCAGACTAGACATTGCCACTGAGCCACGGAGCTCACTCGAGCCGTACACTTCATGAGTGGTAAGATGTGAACGACACTTTCAGGTATGCTCCTTGCGCTTAGGTCTATACTGTATTTAGCATTTTTAGTCCGCTTTGTTTACATTCATGTCACGCGGCGCGCGGCTGCTGTCCCTTTTGACAGGTCACGCAAGCACTGTTTACATAATTGGCGCCGCTCGCATGTGACAGACGTGCCAATACACCTAGTACACGTACATGCAGCCCAGCGGATTATGTCCCCGTGTCAAACCAAAAGGCAATCGAGCTCTTGTGTCTGCTAGCTTCTGCCAAGGACATCCTTCAGGAGACGTCAAACGTGCAGAAGCGGTGGTAGACGTGTCAATGTGAACTGTACGTTTCACACAGTTATACACAACAACACAAAAATGGTGACTTGGTTGGTTGGTTGGTTGTTATTTTAGTCAAATTTTTAGGCATCACATGCATCCAGCCAACTCTGCGGTCCTGGCCAAGGAAATCCAACATGAAGAAAGTAGCGCCGTACGCCGCGTAGCCCTAGCATTGCACAATACTGTTCTGTGCACTTGAACACGGCGCTAATAATAGTCATGTGGTCGGATTTCTCCGGCCAGACTAGGCCTAGCATGACACCTGCACCTGGCTGGAATCGCTGACATGAGATCCTAGTATTGACAGCGTCGACACTCAGAGTCCGCATAACCAGTGTCAGTGATTTGTCGGCACGCATTCAGCAGGCTGACGGCGAACTCCATGCGACCGCTAGACATGCCAGACAATGCGCTTGTCCCGACGCGCTCGTTTGCAGCACATTCCGAGCAGTCTTTGGCAGGATGATTTCTCACACTCTCGCACGTCCACGACCGTGCCAACGAGAGCTCATCCGCGTGCAGTCTAGTAGATTTAATAGTGGTTGCCAAGCTAATTTTGAACTTCTGGCGGAAAACCCCGCACTCGTAGGTCTAGCTGGGAGAGGTGATGAATTGTAGATCTGCGTCAGCCGATACCTGCTCAAATTGGCCCTTATCCCCAGAAGGAAATCTGCGACCCAGATTGTCCGCGGTTTCCACTGAACACATGGAGTTCCACGGCCAGCACCTGAAGTTCTAATACAGCCACATTCCGCCTTCCTACACATTCTCAAGTCAAAGGCATTGTCAGCAGCAATTGTCTGCTGCAGTCAATAATACACGATCACCAGGGCGACTAGATTATTATCCTCTCGTGATAGATGAGCGATGAAGGACTCACAGCTATGATAGGATCAAACTCAAACCCAGACGCATCTGGTCGCCCCTGCTGTGAAGTCCCGAACCTGACACTGTAGGACGGACATGGGAAGCGTGTAAAACTACCTCAACCACCACTGGCTCGTCCCCGGAACCCTCTGAAGAATGCCATTCATATTTTCAAATACAGTAGATCTAATACAAGTTTGCTCGTACACGATGAAAGCATTTCTCCCCAGGAATGTATCACGTGGTGGAGTATGAGAATATTGCGGGCGTTCTTGTGGAGTGTCCGGAAGGCCTTATGAATCGTTGTGCTAAACTATGAGATGAGAATAGCCATCACTGGGATATTTCAGTCAGTGTTCGCTTCGCACACGGGTCAGCGTTTTGTGGCAGGTCTGGAAGCTGGCTGGTATCACCATCCACAAACAGTGCAACATTCACATGACTCCTCTCGTCGAGTTGTCTATCATGACTCAATAATTCTCGCTGTGCACTGTTCCGGTACCGGTATTGGTCTTGCAATGATTGACACTGCAGCGAGTCTACACTATAGTATGGGCCCACCATTTTGTTGATTCACCGCATTCTAACGGCGATAGCGCTACATGGGCGCCCTATTAAAGCTGAGCTCCAAGGAGTGACGCACATTGGGTCAGCTCATTCGCACGTAGTCGCTCACTATCGAACGCCTGCAGGTGAGATGTGGCTGGAGGGCTGCTTTCCTGGGCGCATATTTCACCAGGTCGTGAACCTGGGTGCGTTCTAGAGGCCAGCACGGCGTGGCTCCGGAAAACGAAGACTGATGCTATAACCCACAAGACTAATGTAATGTCCCTTCAAGATTTGTTTGTATGACTTCGCCCTATCGCCACATACCCACAACGGAGCACGTGCAACCTCTCTGTCACCTCTCTGTCAACCTCTCTGCACCGTCTCAAACACCTTCAGGTGGCAGTCAGTCTCATCATTACACGGCAAAGCATGAAGCATTGAAGGTGCAAAGCCTGGCTCCTGCAATCCTCTTTTCTCTCCGTGGCCCCGTCTCCTATTATTTCTCTCTTTCATCTGCTGCACATCTGCTGCCGACGCTACATGTAACCGTGTTTACCTCAGTAGATTTACAACAGTGATACACCCACAAGTGGAGGGAACGCTGTTGAAATGAGGTTCAAACCTAAAGCACACGCTGTTCTTTCCATTGATGAATCGAAGGCTCCAAACCCTGCTTTCAACATGCCAACAGTTTCCGCCCCCAAACTGACTTCGCTGCCAGAATTGCCGTCAAGAAGTTGCTGGTCGCTGTCGCAATTGAGCACTTGGGGCAGATACAGGAGACCAAGCGCCTTGTGCGAAAGACCAGTCAAAGTAATTTGAGGACATGTTCATATACAATTCTGCACGCCTGTCACTAGAACTGCACTTCGCCAACACCTAATCAAAGCCAATCAAGTTGACGCCAAAGAGCCCGTTGAAGATCAATAGTAATCGCACCATTCCCGTTGGTTGCAATCGGAACAATCCAGCGCACACAAGGCTCCATTCCAATCCAAGAGCTATGCTTGTAAAAGCGATCCGCATCAGCTGTCACCGCATACAGAATGATCTACGTCCCAACCGACACCATGATTGTTTTTGCTTTCCATTGAAAAACTCGCTCAGCACTTAGCTGCTTGCTATAATGCAGTAGTGTAGGCGTGCAATGAAAGAATGACGCTGCTGACGACGCTCTTCCAGTAAGCTTATCATTGCATCGGCGTGTCTAAATGCGTGCGCGCTTTATCAAGGCGCTTGACGTGTGAGGAGATACCTTCGTCCGTGTCTCCAGACGCGTGAATGACCGTCGCTATTTGAAGCATCCTGCAGTCTATCCTAGACGGAAAGAAGCCGGATGAAAAGGTGTGTAAGTCCATTTCTGTTGTACGCATGTCGATTATTATGCTACTGCAGCCATTTCATCCAAGAACATGCAATAAACTTGAGCACGCAACGTAGACAGTGCATATCAGCAGCAACTGGCTAGTATAATTATAGGAGACACTCACCAGCTAATAACGAGCTGTAGATCAGCAGCAGATATAGCGTGGTCGTCCGTGCAGAGGCGAACACCACTCGCTTGATTGTGTCCAGCGGCCTCCAGGCGGTGCGGGTCGCTGCCGGCATGACTGACGGTTGACTGTAGCCTTGTACGTGTAGGTGATGAAGCCTGAAGCGGCCTGGCACTAGACTGGCACGTCTAGCTGAGAAAGCGTGTATGTTGCGCGCCTGCTGTCCAGTGAGGTCGGCAGCGTCCGTCTGATTGCAGCAGCCCGAGTCTTGTGTTGGGTTCACGGTATTCACCGTGCGGGATCCGCTCTGACAGACCGCTCAGTTACCTGTCGCGAAACGTCAGCCGGCGGTGAGCTGAGGAATGCTGGCATTTCTGCAAGAAAGGAGCACATGCGCAGACGGACCAGTTTCGAATGCAGCTCTATTGCCACTGCAGTATATGATTGGGCAACTCAGGGCGAGAATGTGCCAGGCCATACATTTCTGGCATGCCAAAATCACCTTCTGGCTCCACTGCGCGACCATTGGCATTCTTACACGGATGTGAGAGATGCAAATTCGTGTCGAGGTTTTTTTGGGAATTGGTTGTTACTCACGAGCTCAGCCATGGATCTAGTACGAATGACGCCCATCCATTCCTTCTGCGCTGGATATTACCCAGTGTGGTCTTCAGGTTCATGTAAAGTTGCACGCAATCATGTACCATGTACAGAAAATGGCGTGCAAAGAATATAAGCGGCTGCTCGGGCACGCCAATCACTCATTACTTGTATCCGCCGCGAACCAGCGGGACAGAACATCCAAAAACACCTTGCAGTGTGCTGAGCATTTTCTCCATCGTATCATTATTAAGTTTGTCTACCATGGATATGACACCATGTTCTGGAAATGCCACGTCTCTAGGACTAGTAGTGAGGCAGTAATGAGGCGACGAGGATGGTGCACTGGGGCGCAATGGTTGCGAGGTTTCCAGGGGCAGCATCCTCGCCCGAAGTTCCGCCTTGACACTCCCTTTCACAGGCAAGGTAGATGCTATGACAGTCACTAGAGTGATGGCGCTCAACGGGTGAGCAGCCACAACCGTCAACGACAACTGGGTAACCAACTAACCATGTATGCCTATGCATGTGAGAGTCATCACTGACCATACAATGTCATTGTAGACCTACATATTGAAAATAGCTCCAAAATGATAGGGGCAGACGGACGAAGTAGGCGGACTGGGGGGTCGCTAGTGAGCAAGGAAGAACAATAAGTATACTCACATGGCTCTCCCCGACTAGTTGGGAGTGGAGTACCGCTGTCAGACACTCCGTCTGCTATTCTGCATGTCAGTGTACGCTGCTGATAGCTTCTAGCAGACTTGACGCGACTGGCGCTCCGGGCTGGAAAACAATGGGAGCACCCCCTGCTGCGTGCGTTGATGAAATGAAAGACGGCGCGGTTGGTGCCAAGACCGAAATTGATCCCTCTAGTAAACGCTATCGCTGCCACAGAATGTGTGCAAAGTAACCGTACACGTCGTCCCTGGTCAGCTATCCAACAATATACACATCTCAATGCTAATGGAGCGTGTCCAGATACTCCGAAACTCGAACACGAAATGGATGGCTCATGCAAGTCGTTCATTTCTCGCGCTGAATGCAACTGCTTCCTATCCGGTTTGGCGCAGAGGTTTTTGTAGTGTGTCCCTATCCCATGCCCACGCTACGGACAGCAGCAGCAGCAGCGGCGGCTCTGTTCACCTGGGCTCCGGCTGCTGCTGCTGCTTCCAGGCTATCTGTGAAAGGCTGCACGCGAACTCCAAGTCCAGTGGTGCAGTGGGGAATGCTTGCTTGGGGCATTCCGAGCGACTGCAGCAGAATGTCCGGACTGCGTGAGATGGGATGTGCATACAGTCATAGTGCGGTGACGTGCGCGGAGACAGCTAGCGGGTCAATGATACAGGTTCGTGTCGAACTGCGAATCTAAAATGGCTGTCACCTCGTACACACGTGAATCCTAGGCAATCGTGCATACATTTGACGTGGCCGTCCAGGATTCCCTTCTCTGGTGGCACGATGCGTAGCACGATGGCACCCAGTCATGGGACGACCATGACACTTCGTATAAAATGAGATGGAGGTATTCTGTCACCAAACCAAACATCCCCTTCCATTATGTACGCGTTAGCCATTGCAGATTGACAAGACTATGTCGGACATGAAGACTTCACGTGCTGGTCAGCAAGAACAGCGATGATGGATGAAGCTCAATGGCTCGTGTACAGTACGAGTGCGCACGCTCCTACGCTGCACGGTGCAATGCATTCCGGATGTTGGGCGTGAAAATGTGCGCCCATCATCAATCACATGCCACCTTCAACGGATTCTCCCCAGTAACCATTCCGGTGATATCATTGAGTGTGATCGCTACACAGTGTTTGATTCAGCCCATAATTTATTATCCGCCCAGGCAGTCAAAGGTCGCTAAGTGACTGTGTGTCCACGACCTCACTGATTTGGACTAAGTGCAGTAACGATTCGAATCGACAGTACGGAGGATTAGCAAGACGAAATTCGCGTACGCGTTCGCTCTCCAAGGAAAGTCGAACTCAGTGACGGAATTCGCGTTATGAGAAGGATTAGCAAACAGCATTCGCACATGCATGACGTTGACACGACGTACATTGTGTACAGACAGTACAGCGTGGTAAATTTATGACTGCCCTGACACGAATCCGCGATTCGTGTTCCGACTACTTTTCCGAACGAAAAATGCGAAGTTCGCAACCCAGTTCGGGAACTGAAAAATGTTTGCGAACGAGAACGCGAATTTCGTCTTGATAATCCTCCGTAATAGCTTCTCAGATTCGTACTGAAATTCGCACTTAGTATCATCCTTATTTTCATTTGTGAATGTTGGCTGGTTGCTTCCGAATTCGTTATCCAAACTGGCAATAATGTAGTGTACCAAGGGTTTTGAAGGCAGAAGATCTATGGTCAAGAGGCGTTAGCCTTTGGGTAATCCTGAAATAAAAATTATTATTATTATTAAGAGGTGATGTTGGTTGTACACCATAGGGGCGTAAGTGAAGAAGAAAGTCAGAAAGCTGGCAACAGCTGTATGAAAGAATGCAGTATCGTAAGGGAGTCATGTACAGTATCCACCGGTCTACACGACTCTCCGTAGCTGATTACCATGCAGAACCCATCTAGATGTGTATAGACTCACTTCCTGAGGCATCTTCGTCACGGATCAATGATTGCTGGACAGAAGGAGCTCAAACTTTGAATGTGACGGGGTATTTCGGATCAAGCAATGCGGAAAAATGTGTCCCCTGGGGATATGTTTAGAGAGCCTCTGGTATTTTCCTAAATACATGTTAACTATTAGTATTACAGTGTCTGTAATCTTAGCTGCAACTAGTGCTTTGAAGCCTTGTGTTGGGCATGTTATAGCATACACCGGGCGGAAGAACAACGTGTTTGCTATCTGTTGTGTTGCGTAGGGGAATGACCCACTCATTCAAAAGCTGCGGAAGAAGACTTCCTCGATCTAGGCTATGGCATGTGGAGAATTCAGAATACAGTACTGGCAACTGAAATCCGACCTCCTGGGCGGCGCGTTCACTTTCTAGCGGCCTCTATTTCGGGTCTTTGCGATGTGAGCGCACCGCTCAGGGGATCGGATTTCAGTTGTCAGCACTGTAAGTGCAGCATGTACAGAGCTCGCTGGGTTTCTCGGGTAGGCCAGTAACACTGAGCTCCTTGATCGACGACATCTAACAGGGTATTATTATAATTATGTGCATTTTCGCGTTGAAGTCGACCGATAGGTCCACTTCTTCGCTTGTGCTGGACAACGAAGGCAGGAGGATAACAAATGATACGCTGTGGGAAAAAATCAAACGATCACTGTGTCAGAACCAAAACGGCACAAATCAGAAGAAAAGGGGAAAAGGAGCCGCAGAAGTATAAAGTCAGTGTGTGTTGGGGGGACAATGCAGTAGAGAGTAGGGACCGGCGGATTCTGCTCGAAAAGGTGGCAGATTCTGCTCGAAAAGCAGTGAATTTGGCCGAACCATACAAACCTTATGGCGGGTAATTCCTCGAATTCTGCTCCATTTTATATCCACATACCAAACATGCATGAAACTTACCAGAAAAGTACCGAATTCTGCCAATTTTCTGCCGGCAGAATCCGCCGGACCCTAGTAGAGAGCGTTGAGTGATGAGATCTAACAAAGTCCTAACAGGTACAGGTATTAGTCCGGAGATTCCGTACATGTAAAATACTACATGCCTGTATGGATGTGACTGTACACTATTTTTACCTTTCATGGCATCTCTATTTTTTTTCACGTCTACCTGACTTTATCTTGCCCGTAAAAGAGGCCGTTACCCCGCAAAAAGAGACGTGACTACAGTAGTCGCACTAATACACTATCCTCAGTCAGTCCGACGCTGGCATTGGTGTACTGTCTGGGCACGCTTCAGAATAGAATTGATGCTGCATGTGATAGGATGGCACTTGGACAGTAAAATTCACACTCACAACAGTTACATGTACTTCGAAGTATGCACACAAGCCTCTTTAACGGGCAAAAGGAACACAATGGATGAAAATGCAAGACAAATGCAAACCCAGAAAACCGGAAAAGGTAAATATTTATGTAACCCAAAAGAAAAACAATGTGTGATTAACACTATGCATGTGATGTAGTTCCAGTCCAAACCTACAATAGCACCTGATACAGATTAAAATATAATTGAAAATATAATAACTCAGATGGCGAGCCAAGGAAAAAAATGTAACATGGAAAAATGTGGGCATAAGTTATGCGATCGAGTCCACCAATTGAACCAGATTTTGAACAGTCAGACGTGTACAATCCAGCACAAAACTGACAAAGAGTACTGAGACATTCCACGGCATGAAAGTCATTTTGAGCACTGCTCGATAGCGCTAACCAAACGGCCTTCCAACTTGGAAGGTTCCTGGATATTAGTGCTAATTCTAAAGAGGGGAAGGCTAGCGCCATCGATCCGAGCACAAGCTACATTGCACATTCCAAGGCTTCATGGAATGCTGGCCTGGTGCGATAACGGGACGGCAACACCAGACAGAACGGTCAAACCACAATTCGACAACGCAACGCAAAGCAACAACAACCCAACTTGGGAGGCTCAATATTATCAGAGATCAGATTTAAAAAAAAAAAATTAATAATAATGTAAACTATCGTGTCCGTTCCCGAAGGGAACTTACGACGGCCGCCACCACCCGATAAACCCTTCATCATCTTTTAGGGTCACATTTATTGTCTCACCCCTTTGCCTTCTACCTGTGGCACTTTATTTATTATAAGTTAATTTCGTTCTTGGTACACACTATAGAATGTATACTTAATCGTTGTTTTCCATGGTTAAACTTTAGTCACGATATTCCACTGAGGAATGTGACGTGAAAATCGATTTTTGAAAACCTTTTTGACTTCGTTGATGTGTAGTGATGACGGAGGAATTCATACTATTTATTGCTATTTTAAAAATGATTGTCTCCACGTCGTCTATTTGGAAAACCTTACACACACACACACACACACACACACACACACCAGTGTAATTTGCAGCGAAGAGACCACTTGGATTGAAGATGGTGTGTGTGTGTGTGTGTGTGTGTGTGTGTGTGTGTGTGTGTGTGTGTGTGTGTGTGTGTGTGTGTGTGTGTGTGTGTGTGTGTGTGTGTGTGTGTGTGTAAGGTTTTCCATTTAATGAAGTGGCTGCAGTGGAGCTTGCGCACATCAAGACATGTCGTCTATTTGTATGAATTAATAGCAACACTAATAACCCTATCCAGAGAAAAAACAAAAACAAAACAAGAACTTGATGAACAAATGATAACACTGTATACAAGATCAGAAAATTGCGTAACAGGGCAAGATTCAGCCACCACTACAGAACTATCCACAAAATGTTGGACTGGGAAACCGCGACGAGAACGAGCACCACGGATACAAGGAAATTGAAAGAATGCTGGATCTCAGTGCAGAGAAGGAGCACGCAGCATACTCATGACAACTCGGTTAGTTGGTTCATCAGGTTGAACCAACCATGTTTTCTGTAAGAATACGGAAGGGATTATTTCAGATGGAGAGCCAAGGATTAACAGTTACTTATAGTGAAGAAAAGAACCAAGGAACTACAAGGTATGCTAAAATGTCCACTAACATCACCAGTATTATTACTTGACAATCAGCTGATGCGATAACATCGGTACAACACTGACCGACAGTACTGACGTTCTAAAACTAACTGGCTGACTGTCATTTTTCGATGGTGTCTGGGAGACAAAAATAAATAAAATAATAATTCGTTCTCGCAAAGCTTCCCCCTTCTTAACTTATCTTTGATATTTTTGACCCACCCAAGTTGGGTGGTGTGCTGCTTTGCTGCTTCGAATTGTAGTTAGACCGCTTTGTCAAATCGCCTACTGGTCTTGTCATCGTCCAGTGACAATCGACATTCTTTGTTCCGTTGGGACTGTAGCTTGTGCTCGTTTTCGTTGCGCTTGCCTTCCCCTCTTTGGTCGTTCCATAACCTTGAACCTTCCAAGTTGGAAGGCTGTCGGTTAGCGCTATGGAGATGTGTTGAAGCTAGGTGTCAGGACGTCGA